CCCACAAAATAATTATCTTAAAAAAACAATGTATAAACATTTCATCCCACGTATACTTATTAGAACGTTGTGACTACGGGTGTTAATTTGTTTCTGGCCTCCTTGTGCACACATGACTTTACTTTCAGATGTAGTTACGATCTCTTTTCAAACCACTCTCACTAGAATTATGTTCACTTTCTCCATTAAAAGGAAAATATAAATACAAGAAGCAAAATGTCCACTTTATACCTTAGGCCCTTTGTTTAACTGAAGCCTAATAATTTCAATGTACTATCTAGCGCCAATGACACAAAGTGTAGATGTTTTGTTGATGAGAGCATCTGAGGGTGTTTTTTTTTCAAAAACAATTTTGAAACCTAATTTCCTCTGTCATTCTCCTTTTCTTTACGACAATAAGTAAAAGTATGTCATACCTGAATCAGTAGTCATTGTAGAATTACCGGGAAGAGTATTCGACGCGTATAGCTTTATTCGTTTGTTTTACTTTTAGATTACACTATTAAAATTCTAATTACATCAAAAGAATTGAAAAATATTGGATTAGCACCAGTATGTCTGTACACGACAGAATTAGATGATGTGTCTACAAACTATTCAAGCAGTCTGACAATTCCAGGATGAACCCGAAGGGAAAACCTCTTCCATTGAAATCTAACGCTGTTCCGGAAGGCGAGCTCATAAACAGTTGGCCAGACTTCTGCTGCCAAAACAGAAAAAATGGACGTCTTTTGTGTGCTTCTGGCAGGCAGCTAGGAAGACTCATAACTCGGGAATTCCATTTTTTCCGATTTTGTCCGGAACAAAAAAGTACAGGAAAATAAAGGAACTCTTTTGCCGCTTCGTTATGGTCTGACTGTAGAGAAAAAACTTGAAGGGGTGGATCGGAGAAACAAGGTGTAGAAGATTAGTTCAGTTTTAGGTTCTTGCAAAAAATATAGGACATGTAAGTGCCGACGATTAGAGATGCTACCGGAGAGTAACACATAAAGAAAAGAGGAAACAGTGATAGATTTTTTAAAGGGAAAAATGAGCAGAAGAGATGCATCAGAAAAGAAATGTAAATGCAACAAGTATGTTGGGTGCTTCGAAGACATTGTGTTATAACTTCATAATCCCAACACCAGGACTATTGCAGTTAAAGTAAATTCTAAATCTATGTAGAAGGAACAATCTTTTTACTCTTTGGCAAGTCATCCTTTCTTTCTTTTATGGGACTCAACATGTGCGTATTTTAGCTTATCTTTCCCACCTGTGCATATGGTATAGTGCTTTGGCGTTTTGCCAGAAAATGTAATTGATATGAGTTCAGTTCCCAAGTAGGGAGAACGTTCATCGAGTATCTCAATCTTTCTGCTTGGATGTTGCGTCCCTGGCAGCCCGAGTTGGTCTTGTCACGCAGGATCGAAGCATTCCACCTTCAAAATGATCCCCTGTACTCTGTCAATATGGATTTAAAACATCTTTCATCATTATTTACTTCGTCTAGCTTTGGTTCATCTAGGCCCGGAGTGATTGCATTATCTTCTCTTTCCATTTAGAAACATAAAACATTTTTGTCTTTCCCCAGCCTCCGCAATAGATTCACGATTCGAATTCAAGCCCGGAGAACCAATCAGATACACTCTTTTATTGGGGAAGGCGTTCCCAAAGCTGGAGGCGTTCACTATAACGTACTGGATCAACATCAACAGTTCTGAACATCCAGGCACCATCCTGTCCTACAAGGCCGGTGTTCGCACCAATCTCCTGCGTATGAACAGTGGGCCGTATCTCAATTTCGAGATCTGGGGGCAGAAACAGGTCACAGACATCCGGCTGATCACCAAGAAGTGGTATCACATAGCTCTGACCTGGTCCAGGCAAGGTGAGGGAAAGAGAGAGATGGGGG